ACTCTATACAGCACATTTTGTATCATCACATTTCTTCTTTCCCCATACTAATCATCACACTATACACTAAAATCCATAAATGTCGGAACGATGAGCAGAACTAAGTGAAAGAAGTCGAGGTTTTAAGAAAGATGACATTGGTAAAAGTACAGTCAGGTATATTCTCAGTGAAGAATGATGAAGAGAGGAATATATTGAACGGATAACAAAATACAGCACATGACTAACATATAGTCCGTCGGATGGGACTATAAATGGTGGCCCGTGTGAGAACTGTCCAATCTCGCACGGAAAAAAATCCCTCTGGGTTTTTCGAAAAGGAGTAGGCGCGTAAACGCCGACACAGAGGATAGTGATAGCTTTATTCAAAAAATTAGGCCGTTAGAACTAGGGTCTCTTTATTAAGACTTTTATAAGGACTTTCAAAATGTATATACAAACTAAATTCATAGAATAGGCAGGGGCTGGTGTGGCTGGCGACGGCACAGTACCTCACTTCCGTCCAGACTTGGTGATGCTGTACGACGAGTGTTAGGTTAAGGCATTATTAGACATAGGAGCCGTCTTACAAAAACTAGACTTATACAGTTAATATATATACGATATACGGCTCCTTCTCTAACCTATCCCCCTCTTCTACTCTTTACTCCATACTTTATCCCTTCTACTCATCATCTTCCTTTCGATTCTTCGTCTGCTGGATAACGGAACTATTCGGTAGTGAAGCGGACGTAAAACCTATCAATAATAATAAAAAACTTGTCGGGGAGTCTGCTGGATAACCTAACTACTCGCGCGATCGGTAGTGAAGCGGACGTAAAACCTATCAATCAATGTGTCGGGAAGAGAGTGTAGACATAGGCACCAGTCGTGCGTCTCTCTCGAGCTCTCTCCTCTCTAACTAGACCCCGGGTATATTCAGTTAATGTTACTGTAGTCGTCGTGTGAATGAGTGTGAAAGTTGTGCTTCGTTATTATCTTGTTGATGTTAAATAGATATGATTAACTGTTCGTAGTTGTCGTAGTTTTCGATTCACAAAGACTATTCCAAGTTCTAGAACCCGAGAGACAGGTGCCCAAGTCTCCTGTTACACATTTTTACATAGTGATTTGAAGGCAAATAAAAAACAAATATAGAAAGAAACTGTAATAGTAAAAAATATAATACACTTACACAGACGCCAGGCCCGCACTCCTTAGTTCAAGTGACTGTTTAATGTATATAGTCCGAAGATGAAATATGTGTTAAAGTCATTTGTGTCTATTATAGAAATAGTTTTGAATATATTTACTTCAATAGTTCTTTCTTAGCAGTGCATAATAGCCACACATGAATAAGAAGTGTTCATCTTCTAGAACAAGACATTTTTTACATACTCTTTCCTCTCTAGTTTTTTTTCTTGATCTTCCTATTGCTAATTCAAGGTTATGCTCACACAATCTAAATGTTGTTTACAACATTCTTAAGTTTTTATTAGTGATAGATACGTATTTTTCTTGGGTACATTCTTTCTTAATATCTTAATATAAGAATTTTTTTTATCCGTCATCGATGGTAGTTTCCTGAAAAAAATGGTTTCATTTTTTTAATGAAAGTTATAATTCTCTGTGTCATGAGGTTCTACCACGTCTTTGGTGCAACTATACCATGAATAAACACCACTCTCATCTAATTTTCTATTGAGTGTAAATTAAAGGATTCTGTAACCAAGGGATTTATATTGTTAGTTTGTAAAAATTCTGCTTAGATAATTCCAGGCTTGAACTTTAATTAGAATTTCCATAGAATACTGTCCCAACTGGGCTCTTGACCCAATGTTAATAACTATAATGTCATGCCTTTAAATGTTACGACACCAAACAATATAAACCAAATCAAAACATAATCCTATTTTTATGGAAAATTCCCGGTAAAAAGTCCGAATATGTGCGTCATCAGTCAAAAAGTCGTTCAAAGTCATAGTTAGTAAAAAAAATGACAGATCTTGATGAAACTTCAGATGAAATGGCGGAACTGGTGTTGAAAAGATATGTCCCCGGCGATATGTTTAATGTCATTGTATCTAGCACATCTATGTTTTAAGTTTAATACTAAACCCATGTCCGGGATGTTTTTACCGCTAATAGCGAATATTTTGTTGCAAAACATGTTCCACATTCGTCGTTTGACAGTAGGGAAGAGCACTATCTTTTATTCCAGGGGTGTAGAAAAACATTATAGAACGTAACCCCTGGGATATAGAGGAGGGTATTTATTTTGAAGAACTGAAACAATACGACAGTAACCCTGGTTTAATGGTACTGTGTGTGGTAGTACGAAGTTTGGATACTGGCTAGTGACACGTTTATAAGGATGACTATGAAGTAACGGAAACCTATACAGACAAAGCAGGCTGTCTATCCTTTTCATTTACTGATATCCGGAAAGATTGTTATACAGAAGCATGATTCTGTAGTATTTCGTCGTTCGAAAATAAAGGCAAACTAATTATCCATACAGATAAGGTTTCCTTGGTTACAAAGCTAGCCTAGATCTTATTGGAAGCTGGAGAGGCAACAGCACTAGATGCCATGTCTGCAGACACAATAGCACAACTTTCATGCAGATCTTTGAGTGTCGCTTAGACATCGTGACCAAGAAATACAGACTACTTGCTGTTAACTTCTAAGGCTATTTATCCTGATTTTGAGTGATGCAACTGAAAGTGAATCCACTTCACCATGCTCTCGTTTTGCCCATTGTCTGGTTTAAACTTCCAGAGAGTAAAACAGTATCTTCGAATTCACACTCCATTAGATAGAGTCTCATATACTTTGGAAACGTCATACAAAGCTCCTGTAGCTTTCCAATACGGATACTGGTTTGTTTGCCAGTATCTACGTGTCCAGTTGGACCATAGATGTATAAAGATGTAGAGCAAGAAGAGGTTATATTCAACTGTCGAAGCGTTTGATTTTTATATGAAACTGAAAAATTTGAAAACTATGCGTTTAGAATAACTGTAAGAACTGATTGGAGCAATTTTGTATCTGAAGTATGTTAGCGTTGACGGCATTTATCGTCCTGCTGACAGGAAAGCGTCGAAATCGGGGCCCTTTATCAATAATCTTGTGAAGGTCATCAAGAACAGTTTTCCATGATGGTCATCAATGGTTCCACTGCCGGAGGTCCCCCATGGAACTAAGGAAATACATTTGTAGGTATATATGGGATCTTAGTTTAATGTACCGCATAATGTTAAGTTTCATTCCGATATCTCAGACTGATTAATCAATAGTTATAATGAAAAGCATGTCACTATTCTATCGCAAACGACAAAAGAAATGACAAACTATGGTACATGGTACCAGGTACATGTGTATGCACCACACATTGAATTAGTTTGGTTTCTGCTCGCGAACTTGTGTTCTTGCTAAAACTCAAAGGTACAATCATGGTTATTTTCATTATCATGTGTCAGTTCTCAAGCAAATACAAGTTGCTTTAAGTTTGTAGGTATAGACTCATTGTATTAACATTCGGTGAGTCAACTAATTATGGAAATATGCCGTACAAGAAAGGACAAGAAGAACAGAAGAGACGGATATACGAATAATGTCTCCAGTGTGCATAGAGAAACAGGTCAACCACTAATTATAAAGTGACGTTTGATAGCGAAACGTGAAGTAACTAACGTGGTTAGTGTATAAGGACCGTATGTTTGAGAATCCGGTTAGAAATATATCAGTGCTTAATTAGTTTTATTGTTATACTTAACTTTTTGAAGATACAGTATATTACCATAGCCATATTAAAAGAGCAATAATTACTAGCTTACGAGTATGGCTATGCAAACGTTATTTAACACTGCTTCAAAACCATGTATCCGTTATTCACGACAGCAAAATATATGTAAATAAAATTGTACTACTTTAAAGGGTTATACATAGAATATGGACACCTCATTAGGTCATGGAGTATATTTATTATATAGTTTAACGGGGGCGGTTCCGGCCTAGTCGACCTACTTTTAACTAAATGTGAACTATTTACATGTAACATGTCTTGCACTCTACCTACTAAATCAAAATAAAGTATATGAAATATTTGACACATTGAACATGCTGATACTATATCAACACAATGGTATAATAATAATCATAAACGTTTCTTTATACCAGCATAAAGTTCTTGTGATTTATAAATACCCCTCTGGTTGATTAAGTATACTCGGGAGTTTCCGTATTTAAGGATTCGTATCACGAAGGAGGTCACATTAATGCGAGCTCTCTTTTTCCTCGGCAACGACTGTAAGTTGAAAATGAAGAGATGTTTATGTTTTATCGTTGCTTGAAGTAACTCTTATTTGTCAAATTACTGACAATTAATATGAATTTGAGGTTAATATTGAATATAATATGACAGAAAGAGCGTAATACAAAAACGAAAGAGGAAGGTAAATATGGATGTGTTTTTATCTTGTAAAGATAACTGACATCGATTTGTTTAATTATGTTACATCGGAGAGTTCATCCCCATCGCAAGTTGTACAAAGATAGATGTCACTTTATATATTGTGTGTGTTCAAAATAGCCTTCTTATGTAATATGTCGTTTACAATATACTTGCGTGTTCGTGAACAACACGAATTCGTTATAACTAGGGTGTAACGGTGCCAATTTGGCGGCTCTATTTGGGATTTCACAGTTAATAAGAACGTTCAAAAATCATATCAAAACTAACTGTATTGCATGTACCTAACTCTTTTGGCACTCATGGATCCATATGAATACCACACAATCGATACAATTCATATTTAAATCACAGGGGGTCAAATGTGTCTGATTTATGAATTCCTCATGATAACAATCATTAAAGAAGTTTATCTTTAATTTTGTATCACATCAACCATAATTTGAAAACAAAACGTGCTTTGACTACATTATCATAACTATCTAACTATCAGGTATTGATGTCTGAGTATCTATTCTGTTTAAGGTCAGGCATTCATTGTATTAGACATTCTGCACCTTAACCATGACAAACAGCACAAACAACTACAGTGAGGAAAGTGACAGCGACTGCCCTGATGATGTATTCGTTTCAACCGTCTCGACCGAAACTGACATTGAAAGTGTTTTGGAACAATCTAAGAAGAGAAAGTACAATTCGAGGAGTATGCAGTTTATTGAAAATACCTATTTGATGTTAGTTATGCTTCTGTGGCTATCGGAGCCCTGGAAAGGACAATACATCATTGACACTTTTACAGAACTTTCGATGGCTAGTATAACAAAGACAAACGAAATGGTTTCAACCAACTTTCTCCAAGAACCTCAAATATGGAACAACCCTGACATGTTTGTTTATGCCGTTCCTACACAAACGAATTCCCCAATTATTAGAATTCGCTGTAGACAGGAACAGCTAGCAAGTAACTCTTCAACAACGTACACAGGGCAGTCATCGCCTTCTCTAGAACAGCATCCGTCGAGAGGACACACGCCTGAAACAGAAGGACCACCGACAGCCTCGAGAATGAACCTGCCTGACACAGGAGGACCACCGACAGCCACGAGAGTGAACCTGCCTGGCACAGGAGGACCACCGACAGCCACGAGAGTGAACCTGCCTGACTCAGGAGGACAACCAACGACGATTAGGAGACAGACGTGTGTTATGGAAGGACGACGCATACCTGAAACAGAAGGACTACCATCAGCCGCGAGAGCGACTTTGCCTAACACAGGAGAACAACCAATAGCGTTTAGGAGACAAGCGCCTGCTATGAATAGACAAACATCTGGTTTAAGAGACCACGAATTGGCGATGATGGGACAACCGTCTGCAATGAGACGAGAACCATCGTTTATGAGAGAACAACCATCTGATGTTGGGGGACACAGTGCAGAACAAAATGTGCCTACACAGCAGGTATATCCACACAACATGCGCTATTTCATCGAAGATTTTGATGGTACTCCAATAATCAGGGTTGTCTTGAACACGGATTTCATGAACAACTATAATCGATATGGCGCAATCTACGTAATATCTGAAATGACGCGACAACCAGCTACTAGAGAACAGCAATCTCGTGTAAGAATAGGGGAACAGTCCCGTTGGAGAGGACACCCATTAGCTATGAGCGAACATCAATCAACCAACAGACGACATCAGTTTATAAGGGAACTACCATATGATATCAGACGCCAGCGTAGTAATGACAGAAGGCAACCCTCCTCTATAGGAGAACAATTACATGTACAACCACCAGCTCAGAGAGGACACCATTCTGTAACAGGTGGACGATATCCTAGTAGATATCTATCTACTACTGGGAGACCTCCAGCTTCCTTTAGACAACGCACTCATGACGTGACAGGACAACATTTTGACAGTGGTAGACAAGAGACTGCACAGACGATATATCCGTACACCATGTACTACCGTATCGAAGAAACCGATGGGACTGAAGTGAGCCGGGTTATATATACAGCGCACTTTCTAAACAACTTTCATCGTTATGGGATCATCTACGTAAGCCAATCACCGGTAAGTACTCCGATAAACTCACGAACATGCTACTTTACACAAATCCTTATTTTTAATGTTATATATATTTTTTTTAAAGAAAGTTAAACTTATAACTACATCTTTGTTATTACAGGAATCACCAAAAACGGGATCAGGCACCTCCAAGAAAGATTGATGGTTAACTACCTTAGGCTGCAATTGTAATTCTACCTGTTTGAAGAAAGATAACTCGTGTCAAGTTATTACAAACACTAGTACTCCTACCAAGGGATAAGATTCTGTCGAGCTCTTAAAGATAACCAACAGTAGAAACACTTTAATAATCTCACAAGAGGAGTATAGCATAATACAGCTGATTTTCCGTTGTATGGATTGAATATATTAATATATTATCTATTTAATTCGATAAAAAACGGTACGTACTGCATAAATCCGCGATGCTTTTCGTCATCGATTCATACTCTGCGAAAGGCTTTTTTCCTCGCGGTGAGTTACAATGATTGTTTTAGGAACAAGAATAACGTAGATATCTGTAATCCTCAGATTTTTTGCTGATTGATCCTGTATCATACATGTAGAAAACTCGTATTAAAACTACAAAATATAGTGACAATGATTGGTTCTCTATGCATCCGGTTGCCACTTTTCAGTATTACGATTTTTAAAAAAAATGTAATCCATATAATCCATATCTGTTATATAAGTTTCAGATTTAAACATTAAATTCCTTTTATTGTACACAAACATTTACTACTTTTACTGTTTTCATATGTTGACTAAAAATGGATTTGCAAATGCTTTAGTCTCGCGTAACTACATGTTATATAATTTGAAAATTACAAATGTAGCCAGTACTCCTATAGATTTTTGAATACATAAATTAAGAAATATTACGCACCAGGACCTCTGTTTCAAAAGTAATTTAAAAGAATCTGAATTTCCAACGTTTTGGCCCCTAGCGTCGACGATGAGTCATAAAAATATAATTCATTTTTGGCATACAATTGTATTATATCTATTGTCAAATTATAAAACAGTTTGCAATCATCTGTGTGTGTTACGTTAATCTTTTAGTAGTATAGCTAACTAGCTCTGTCCTAGTGACTTTATTAACTAGCTCTATCCTAGTGACTTTATTAACTAGCTCTGTCCTAGTGACTTTATTAACTAGCTCTGTCCTATTGACTTTATCAACTTGCCTTTTCTGCACCATGTCTGTCCTAGTGACTTTATTAACTTGCCTTTCCTGCACCATGTCTGTCCTAGTGTCTTTATCAACTTGCCTTTCCTGCACCATGTCTGTCCTAGTGCCTTTATCAACTTGCCTTTCCTGCACCATGTCTGTCCTAGTGACTTTATCAACTTGCCTTTCCTGCACCATGTCTGTCCTAGTGCCTTTATCAACTTGCCTTTCCTGCACCATGTCTGTCCTAGTGACTTTATCAACTTGCCTTTCCTGCACCATGT